ATGGAAACAATTTCTAAAGACAAAACAATACATGTGCAAAACCTGGATGCTATATAAAAAGAGTTGGCTTGCACTTTATACTAAGTGTAATATAAATCTTGACATAAGGTCAAGTCAATGCGTTGAAAGCTTGCACAGTAAATTAAAAGGCATTAAAAATCATGTTACTCCAATTGATAAGTTGTTTGCAATTCTTAAGAAGTAGATGCAAGAACGCAAGTATATAAGACATTCATACATTAAAATAAACATATACATAATACAATAAATGCCAGTCTAGAAAAACTAAGGCTAGTTTGCTCATGATTTGCATTTGAATCATTTATTAAACAACAAGGAGATTTTGTAAAATCTGGCACCTATAAAATATTTGAGAGCAATGAACTTGTATATAATATATCACAAATTAATAATAAGTCTAGCCAAACATATATTATACATTTTGGATCACCCAGCACTTGTACGTGTCTTTATCTGCAACACACCAGGACTCCATGTCATCATATTATTGCAGTGTATTTACTTTAATTACATACCAAGTAAAATTCATCAGCGTTGGAATATACATTATTATGCAGAAATGAAATATGCAGTTTATACTCATGTTACAAGAATTTTTGAATAACTTCCAACTTACCATTATGGTGCTTTTTCAAACTTGATGTAACAAGCTTTTGAATATATTTTAGAGTATGGAGAAACACCAAATTTGCTACAAAATAACCAAAATAATACATTAAAAGATATTTTTGAAACAATCGATATTAAGAGCACTGCAAATTATTATGAAATCAAAATGCTAGCCATTAAGCAGTCACATAGTTGACCACCAAATAACAAGTGTATTTATAGCATAGATGAAAAAAACAAAGAAAACAAGATGTTTTTGAAAAAATACTCTTTTGGGCAAAAAATAGAAAAGAGTAATTTGATTGCTTTTAAGACTATTAGTATTGATAATGTAGCCAATTGTGATAAACTAAAAATACTAGCAGTTAAGCATGGACATGGCCGGCCACCAAAGACAGATGTTGTTAAACAAAATTCTGACAGCAATACAATTAGATTATATCAACCTGAAGTATATATCAATCCAAATATTCCTTAAGATATAATATTGCAAGTATATAATCTAATTGGCGATAGCCATTGTGGATTTCGATCATTGGCTATAGCTATTTTAAAAGATAAAATTAGATAGCAAGATGTAAAAGTTATTATGAGAGATTATTTGAGCAAACATGAAGAAATATATAATAACATACTTGGATATAGTGCCAAATGGCTTATAGATATTTTATCATATACAAACCAGGATGTTCACAGAACTATTGGTTTTATACACCAGAATGCGCACAATTGGCATCTGATACATTCAATGTGCTAGTAGTAATATTTGGTGCTGATCCTACTACAAGTCTTTTTTCTTACTCTTTAATCAAAAGCCTGGCTACTATAAGAAGCCTATTGTTTTGCATTGGTGCAAAAATAATTATATTATGTTGGTTAAAATTAAGCCAAATAAGAATATCTATCTTTCACCTTTAAACCCACAGTATTTACCACTCTGTCATCAATCAGATTTTTCTGAAGATTGGATTACTCTATTTTCATAATGGAGTATTTGTATTTAATCTGCTTTTATATTATTGGTAAGTTTGCAAGAATTAACAAAGCACGAGTATTTTGTATATATACATGAAATGTAATTAAGAATAATTAAAGTACAAAATATTAAAAATTTATACTTGCATTATTGCTTATTAAGAAAAAGTACTGTGATTTTGCTTTATTAATTATCTAGATAATACAATTCACTCTCGTTATATTAAAGTTACTGGCCTGATAATCTAAATACTATGTATACTTCATTATATCACTTTGACTTTTTTTTTTTTTTTTTTAATTTGTTTGTTTTTTTTTTTTTTTTTTTTTTTTT